TGGCTGGCGCCTTAGCCACTTGAGCCACAGGCGCTGAGCCAGGGAGGTAGCTTTAAGGCTGCCACCCCATTCTCCCCACTGACATCTTTCACATTAAAATGTCCCTTCTTCCTTGTCTCAGTAACTGGCTTTGTCCACAGGGAGTAACTAGGCCAGATGCCTTTTGGGTTTGGTAACAGAAACATAGAATTTTTAAAAGCTATGATACAGTGTATGATTACATCAGAGACATACTGAGGAGAGGGGTAAACAAAGCAGAAACTAGCTAGAAAAGCTTTCATAGAATTAGCGACAGCAAACAGTATAGATTGTGTACAAACCACATGCTAAATGCTGACTGCAGTCTAACAGCAATTAAGTACAAGGTCCAGAGTTCCACCAAAGTCCAAATCCCAGCTATGGCATGTGACAATTTAGAAAAAGTGTCCACACCAGCGTCCTCCTATGTAAAATGGAATAAAAATGGCATCAACCTAGCTCACTGTCAGGATTAAAGTAGGTAAGCCACACCGGGTCAGTTTCCTAGGCCCGCCATCACAATTTACCACGGGCTTTGTGGCTTCCAAGAAGAAAAATGTAGTGTCTCACAGTGCTGAAGGCTCGGAGTTTATAATCAAGGGACTAGCAGCTTATGCTCTCTTCAAGGGCCCTGGGAGAAAAAAAAAATGTTTCCCATTTTCCTCACTTCTGGTGGTGGCCGACAGTCCTTGGTTTATGTAGAGCGTAGACACATCTCACCATTCTCTGGCTTCATGTGGCCATCTCCTTGGTGTTCCTTGGTTTATGTAGAGTATAGACACATCTCACCATTCTCTGGCTTCATGTGGCCATCTCCTTGGTGTTCCTTGGTTTATGTAGAGTGTAGACACATCTCACCATTCTCTGGCTTCATGTGGCCATCTCCTCTGCATCTCTGTGCGTCCAAATTTCCTCTTTCTTATAAGTCAAATTAGATTCAAGGTCAACTCTACTTCAGGATGACCTCACCTTAACTGGATTGCATCTGCAAAGACCATATTCCCAAATAAGGTCATGTTCACTGGTTCTATGTGGACATGACCTTTCCAAGGGTCCTGTTCAACCCATATGCCCAAGGAGAAAGCACTCAGTCAAAACTCACTCTTAAAATTATGATTATTATTAAATATTTACCCTGATATGTTTAATAATAACATATGAATACACTTAAATATTTTATGTAAGTATATATAAATATTTTCATTGGGATATTATCCTCATTGGAGATATTATCCTCATTGAACAATAAACTGAAACTTAATTTACCCAATGCTATTCATCAAGCAAGAAGCAGAGCCAAAGTACAAACCTGCCCGGTCTGACTTTAAGACCTGGGAAGGCCGCCAGGAGCCAAGGTGAGCTGGTCTCGACAAACAGAAGCTCTCTGGGTAAGGACTAAGGACGTGGGGAGGAAGGTCAGGTAGTGGTAAAAGCTCACAAAGGAGGCAGGAAATTGTGTCCTGAAGCCAGTTCTCAGCTTCTATTCCTAGATGGCCGGGCTGGAAGACCTTGTAGAGTTTATGAACCAAAGCCTCAGAGTGATTCTATGACCTCTCAAGGTCCTGTATCTGGTTGCTGAAAGATCCCAGGCTTCAGCCCACATTTCTGG